CTAACGAGATGGATTGGCCAGGTGGCATCATTGATGGACTCAAGTGTGGCAGAGGTAGACTCAAGTGTGGCAGAGGTAGTGAGGTTGGCCCAGGATCGGACATTGTTTCGTTCTGCTGTGCATGGGGTCGCTATGAGTCGGTTGCACTCGATGGCACCTGACAACAACAATAATTAAATTCATAACAGCAGCCCTATATAGGGTAGAGTAAGGGTAGAGTAAGGTTTCTCCTTAGAATTTCCTATGTCAAATTCAGAGACTGATATCTTATTAGGCCCATCCTAGAAACAAAGGCAAGCCATTCAGAATATCTGGGGTTATTTTGGTTTTGTCTGAAGATGGTCTATGAATACTAGAAACCTTCTAAATTCATTCTTTTAATCACTAAGTAAAGGGAAGCAAATCAGTATGTGTGAAAAATAAAGATAAAAACAGTTGCTGTCAAGTTGATTCCAACCCATGTATGTCAGGATAAAACTGCAGTCCATAGGGTTTTCCAGGATGTGACCTTCTGGAAGTAGATTGCCAGACCTTTCTTCTGAGATACCTCTGGGTATGTTTGAATCAACAACCTTTCAGTTAATAACCCAATGCTTAACCATTTATGCCACCAAGGAACTCTCAAAATTAAGATGCTTTCATTTAAATATTTTATAAATATGAGGGGGCTTCAAAAGTTTGTGGGGAAATGAAGTTAAAAGATAATGGAACTTTTTTCTATGCATTTTTTGAAGCTCCCTCGTGTGTATGTGTGTGTGTGTGTGTACAGGTCTGTATATACACAAGCATGTTTGTATGTATGATATATCTGGAAAAGTCAAGGGAAAGAAAAGCCCATCAAAAAATAAACACATCACTCTAAATCATATGCAAAAATCTTTTATTCTTGAGGAATAGAAGGGACATTGTGTTTTTAATGTGGACACTACAGAAACTCCATACCTATCTAAACCTTGTCTGTTGGGATCATGAATAGTCACTACATATTTTCTACAAGAGGGAGAGGTAGGAGGCAAAGCAAGGCTATGTTCAAGCGATGGGAGACAATGGAAATCAGAGAGGACACAGAGGATCATGAGAGAATGGTTGGGTGTCTTCGTGATGAGCCCAGGGATCCAGGAATGGAATGCTGAGGACTAAAAGACAAAGTCACATGTTATGGCCTGTACAATTCCTGCCAACCATTCACTGAGGAGACAGGGAGAATCTACAAAGGAGAACAGAAGTCTTTATTACTCCTCACCCCTCCCTGTTACTGTTGTTGGATGTCACAGACTCAATTCTGACTCATGGAGACCTCTTACTGTTTCCTAGGCTGTGGATTAATGCTCTGAACAACACCAACAACCTTTATGGAGGATTCCTGGTGTGGTGCTGTAGGATCGATCAGTACTGGACTGCCAACCATAAGGTTGGCGGTTCAAACCCACCAGCTACTCCTCAGAAACCTTATACCAGGTCACCATAAATGCGAACCAACGCAATGACACTTAACAACAAAAACAACAACAACAATCTTTATGGAAGTAGATCACCTGATCTTTTTCTCACAGAGCCACTTAGTGGGTTTGAACTGTTAGCCTTTCAGTTAGTAGCCATGCCAACAGGGCTCCTTCAGATACCCTTGCTGTTAAGTGCCACTGAGTTGGTTCTGACTCATAGAGATCCTGTATAGGGTTTCCAAGGAGCAGCTGGTGGGTTTGAACTGCCGACCTTGCAGTTAGCAGTCCAGTGGTTACCCTACAGTGCCACTTGGAGCTTTTTAAATAGAGACCTGGACTTTCTTGACAGCAGGTGCTTGAACCTTCCTAGCTGCCAGATTTATCACGCTACTTATGAACATCTGTGTACACTTTCAGGAAGGTGGAGAGAGAGATGGGGCAGGCTATAAGATGTACTGACAAAGTTCTTGTCATTCTCAAATCCTCATGAGGCAGGTATACACACAGCCCACCCAATTACCAATGTTCTCCCAGCCTTCCCCAGTCCCACTTCCTCTTCCCAGAAACCTTTCTGAGGAAGGGCAGGCCCAGGATCACTTCCTTTTATGGCAGCTTCACATGAGTGAAAACAAGATGACAGCTCTCCACCCCCCACAAACACAATGATCTGTGTTGATCCATTTCATCAAATCTCCTTGAAGGGCCAGCCCCTAAAAACCTTATGTCCTGCTCTGCCTGGCACCAAACAGGTTGCAAATGAGCCACAGTGGTGAGGATGAGATGACAAAGGCTACAGTTATGGGAGAAAGAGCCTGGATTCACCAGTAAGCATTAAAAGTAGCTTTCTACAATGCACTTGTTTCTGCCATTTGTATAAAATACTATGGCAAAATTGCACTGTAATTATCTTTATGGCCGGTGCATAACGCTGGGGGAGAGTATGTCATCCAGATATCGCTGCCCATATAATTATCTGGCTGTCAGCAGGACTGAAATAACCATCTAATGAGAGCAAAATGATACAGCAAGCACCATGTAATCAGCGAGTTACGGTTATTATGGCTCTTTGTGCCCTCTCACCCAGCACTGAATGGGGGACCTGGTCCCAGGGAGTCATCACGGGCAGTATCATCAAGAGCCAGCGCTTTGGGCCTCAGGCTGGCCACCTTGAGACCAATGAGTGTGCGTAGCAGGGGCATGGGGAGAGGAACAGAGCTCTCTGTACGATCATTGAGCCTTCCGAGCCCCTCTCCTTTCGGCTCCCCACATTTTCTTTCTTTGAATGCTCGTAAAAAGGAAAGCCACCAGTTGAACTGCAATTGCTGTGTGTGGGAAGATAGTGTCGAGGCGGCAGGTTCCCTGTTTTGACTAGACACTTCCCTGGGGATTCTCACACTAGCATACCAAGTGAGAGATCTGTCTGCCCACTCAGACCCAGGGTCCAGCCAGTGAGGGGAAACACTAGGCTATTCATTCCCCACACCTCCCAGACCGGGAGAGCCTTAATAAAGCTTACAGCTATGTGTCAGACACTGTTCTGAGCATTTTACTTATGCTCAATCCTCTAAACCACAACCCTGTGAGACGCTACTATTACCCTCATTTTTCAGAAGGAGGAAACTGTGGCACAGAGGGACTATACAACTTGGCCAAGGTCACACAGCTAGTGAATGGCAGATCCAGAATTCAAACTCAAATTATGTGTTCTTATCCATTACACTACACAGAGAGACTAAGATATACTTTCTAGATACTTCCCATTCAATTTCAGAGTTTCTTCCATAGCTCCCTAATCAGTCCTGTATAGGACTATCCAGAGGCACTAGACCATGTAGACCAGGACAATGAATGATTTGAAAGGTCCAGCCTGTCTGAGAATTGTGAATTGGAGTGGGACCTATAATTACTAGATGTGCCTCTCCATCTTTTGCACAGAATATAAGAGAACTGAGTCCAGACAACTACAGCTGCCCATCAAAGAAGTCCTAGAGGAAGCCTCTCTCTCCCATCTCCCACCATTCACCTCTGCTCAGGTCTTCAGACAGGGCCCGTGACACAGGGGGAAAAGATGAAAAAGAAATGGGGGGGGGGGCGCGCATACAACTCTAATTGTCTGCGTGTTCAACAGAAGGCGTGCTGGGCACTGCCGTTGCATCTTAGGACAAATTTATGAACATTAATTGCCTGCATCATCAGAGAAAAGATACACTGGCAGCCTCCTCCCCTCCCATACCCCCAGTCACTTCTCAGCTCACCACCCAACCTTCTCACCTCACTCTGCGTTGGGAAAATACTTGAGGTTGCCAAAGCTAGGTGCATTCTCTTGGTTCACATCAAGAGGAGTATCTGAGGTGAAGTAAACAGTGGTTAGGAGGGATTTTTCTGAATGTGACCTTCACTCTAACCTAACAGTGAGGCACTAGCAATGAGGGACATGTTTGAAGACAGAGTTGAGGAAAAGAGGCAAGTTCGGTTTGGGAGAATGAGGAGGAACCACAGCCTCCCAACCCCAGCTATAGCAGAGCTATCTTATAAGGAAGGGTCTACCTACACTGCTCCTGGGGTGGGGGTGGGGGGGTCCAGAAACCTTCATTATAGCTAAGACAAGTTCTATCTTTCACTGTGGTGATAAATAAGGGGCATGAGCATCTACTATATCCTTTCCGGTATCCCAAACCCTCCCCCTGTACTTGCATATTTTCCTACCTCGCTGGGTGTTCCTCTTGCCCATAAGCCCCACAAATAAGTCGTGCATGTCACCTGAACAAAAAGGGTCAGCACTGTCAACAGTGATACACATCTATCCACAGGTCACGATTCTGGATTTCTGCTCTGTTTCTTGTCAGTAATCAGTGGGCATGTTTCCTGAGCCTACCTTCTCCACCTATTCCTCCCACTTCCACACGTTAAGAATGCTCTGCCCCCATAGGTGCTAGATTTAGAATTTTGGCAGATACAAAACCTATCTACTGAGTCCTCCTTGGTTCCCAATTACCAGCCAGTGGCAGGAGGGACCCCATGCCCCTGACACCTGTTTCCTCCTAGTTCCCAGTGTCCTCTCAATTGGAGAGCTAGCTGAGCAGTGCAGTTGGCACATGTTTGTGATAATAGAGATGGACACTGGACCCCATACTCTGTGAGGGAGCTCTGGGCAAGTGGTCAGCTGAGACAAGGAGGGAGAAGGAGCTACTCACGTTTCTGGGGATATCCTGACTCCTTAGGACCTGGGAAACCAAGAACAAGTGTGTAAACTGTGGGGATCAAATCTGAAAAGTGACAATTAGAGGGGGCTCATATCCCAACCCTCAGCTATTCACTAAGCCAACTCCAGCCCCCGGCTCTGTCTCACTTCTAAACCTTGCTCCTCACACGCCCCTCCCCCCTCAAGGCTGCTTCTTACGTGCACTGGCCTGGCTCAGTATTTTGAGCAGCCCATCCAGAGAGACTGAGTGGTTGTCTAGGAGTCTTCGGAGCAGTGAAGGGGGCAGCTGGTAGAGATCCAAGTCCTTCTAGGGGAGAGAAGTAAAAAAGGGCTAAGGCAGAGGCTCATACCCCAACACACAAGAAATGGCTTCCAGCCAAGTTCTTCAGAGCTGGACCCAATGTCCTCTTGAGTTCAGGATTTCCTCTGGTTTACACTGCAAGAGGACTCTCAAAGTGCAGCATCACGGGGAGTCTGGTAGAGATGCGTCGTCTCAGTCACTCCTCAGGTCTACGAAGACAGAATCTGCATTTTTAACAAGACCCCCAGGTGATTCATAAGCATGTTCAGGTTTGAAAAACACTGGTGGGAAGGTACACAGACCCTTGGCATTCTACCCATCTCTGCCCAGGCCAGAATGTCTGTATTCAGAGACAGAGAGGAAGATGTCTGACATGAAACACATAAGCAAGTGTGGCACGCTCCCCAACCTCTGACCCAGGATATGGTGGGTGGGATGGGAATCTTTTGGTTTGGACTCTGCTCTATCAGATCTGGTGGGGTGGGCCCAGAGTGTTACCCTGGAGGCTGCCCAGCTCTCCCATTTGCCCAGGACTGAGGAGCTTCCTGGAATTATAAGATTTTCAGTTCTAAAACAAGTTCAGTTCTGAGTAAAACCAGGAATGATGGTTGGTCACCCCTGACTCCCAAGCTCCAAGTAGACTTCTCTTGGATCCTGCCTCTTCTCAAACACTGAGTGAGAAGAACCCCAGGCTCTTTTTTTCCATGGCACATCAGGAATCAGTTTGCTCACGGTGAGTGAGTCTTAAATTCTCCCATTCCCAAGAAAGGCCCATGAGTCAGAGCATGTGCCCCTGACCAAGGCCATGACCAAGTCAGAGATGGCTCATCCTAGAGATGGGTGGGGTGGGCAGCCAGGGCATACCTGCAACTCTGAACTTCACTCTGCACTCAAGTCCAGAGATGTTTCTCTCCCTATTTTCCCACTGTCTCTCACTTCTTCTTCCTCTCACAGATCTCTGTCTCTGGTTCCCTCACTCTGCTCTTTCTACCTGGATCTGGACTCTAAGGAAGGGGCCACTCAAAATGGCATCTCCTCTTCTCCCCCATTCCTGCAACTGAACCCCAGGTCCTGGAGTTGCTGCCAAACTGTTGTTGTTGTTAGGTACTGTTGAGTCAGATCCAACTCACAGAATTTGAACCACCAGCCTGGTGGTTATCAGTCCAGTGCTTATCCTACAGTACCACACCCAGACTCCTGCTGCTGAGAATCAGGGGATTTTAATTGTCCTCATGATTTTTTTTTTTTAAGCAATTTTGGGCACAGCAAAATGGTTAGCACACACCACATACCCAGTGTCTGGCAGCTGCAGAGAGGCAATACAAATGCTCACATTTGGAGAGTCTCACCTTAAACCTCAGTTCCACCCCATTTCCCTTCATCTCCAAAGACCCCTAGAGAAGAAGGAGAAGAAGGCAAGCCTTCCCTTCTCACTACCAAGTAGGGCAGAGGGGATGTCTCCTTGTCTAAGAACTCAAAGCAAATTTGTCTAAAAAGTACCCAGATACTCTGACTGTCCCAGTCTGGAATTGTGCAGCTTTGCATACGGATCCCAGTTCATATTTGGCACTGTCTGTGTGTTCTGTGAACTGATTCTGTTTCTGTTCTTTTGGATGAGGGCAAATGCTACCACCTGCCAGGCTGCCAGTCTATGGTGCTGGAACACTTCCCCAGCTGGATGAAGGCTGGTGATGGTTCCTTTGACCCGGAGCAGATAGCCGCTGTCCCCAGATTGGTAAGACTCTGCCCACCTCCTGTAATGAGATGCTAAAGAGACCTGAGCTGTAGAGGCAGTTAGACTTCACACACTGAATTCATAATAAGTCTCACCTGTAATCATCTGAAACGTCTTTGTGCCAATGTAATTGCTGTCATTTCAAAACCTTGAAAAGACTTCCTCCTGTTCTTCCCTGCCAATCCTTACCCTTTTCTTAGAGGAACTTTGGAAATTCAGGTCCAACTTGCTCCCCTCCCCCTTTCCTAACTAAGTGGTAGGCAAGGAAGAAGAGAAAAGACAAGATGGGGCTGGGATGTTAGGAGCACCTGAGGTTACTGGGAACAGCTAAGCAGAGGATATGGGAATCTATTTGCATTTTGAAAATTAAATAATACATATAACTGATAGGTACAACAGCACACAAATAACCATTTGGGAGAAAAAGTCCTAATGTGACTCTTACCGTCCAGGCTGTTGTCACCTTGTAAGGGGACAGAGCCTGAGCTGGACCACAGAGAACCTTGGACCACCTTTGTTCACTCCTGGAAGGACCACCTTTGTTCACTCCTGGAAACACCACCCAATCACCAAATAAGCAGTCAACCAACCCAACAGACAACATATCCTTTGTTCACTCCTGGAAACACCACCCAATCACCAAATAAGCAGTCAACCAACCCAACAGACAACATATTTGTGAGCACTTCACACATCTCACTGCCATCAAGTCAATTCCAACTCACAGCACAAAGTAGAGCTGCCCCCATAGGGTTTCCAAGGCTGTAATCCAAGTGGCTGACTGGTGGGTTTGAACCACAGACCTTTTAGCTAGTAGCCCAGTGTTTTAATCACTACATCACAAGGACTCCTCCCTTTTACATACAAGGTGTCAAAGACACACGGAGACATTTATAGACACCACCGGAGACAGTGAGAACACAAGACAATCAAGGAGTGAGAGAAATCCAAAGGATGATAAAATGCCCTTTGATGGGCAACCCATCCTGTCCCACCCCTCCCATCAGCCATCCCCAGGTTCCTGTCATCTCTCCCAGTTCTCTGATTGAGTAGGGACAGCTGGGGGGTGCCTCACCTTGCTGTGGTCCCTGCGGGGCACCACCTGCTCCTGTGACTCCTCACAGACAGCCATGCAGCTCTGGATCAGGCTGAGGGCTAGGATGGCTGCAAACAGCAGGGTGCTCCGCATGGTGCCTGGAAGGGCAGAGGGCCAGTCAGGCAAAGGAAAGGAGAGGAGGTGGATGCAGGCAAGGTCCTCAGAACCCAAGTGCAAACCCAGGAGACCTACCCGATCCCTCCAGCCCCACCTCTCCCACCCCAGTCCCCCATGAAGTGTATCTCTGAGCAGGGAGTGTATCCCTTGGGCAGTTTTCCTGCTCCCCATCAGACATCTGCCCAAGAAATGCACCTGGCAATGCATAGTGGTGCAGCAGAATTCTAGGCAGCCAAAGAAGATAAGCTGATAGGACATGCACACTATTGCCTTAGATGGCTTGAGAAGAGACCCTGGCTATTTTCCAGGACTAGGTAACCCCAAGACTTAGACAGAAACTTTCTAATGTAGAAGAATCCACCCACAGGCTCCAAGCATTAACCCCTGATGCTTTCTGTTCACCTTCCCAGTATTCTGTCCCCAAGTCAGAGATTGACACCTAGTTGATTTCGAACTGACTGGCCCCCTGCCCCTAGGCACCTGCTTCCATCCCAGCCCCTGCAACATTGTCACACTCACTCTTCTTCACTGGATCATGCCTACCTGTAGGGCAGCTTTGAGCCTGACCTGGATGTTCTGACAGGATCAGGAAGCTGGCTGGGAGCAAAGCCCACTCTCCACACCCACTGATGGTGTGGGAGCCACCTGAAGAAAGAAAGGGGAGTGGAGGGGATCTTGGAATGTGGCAGAAATTCGTCCCAGCTCCCTGATAAAGGCTCTGGGAGGGTCTGGGGGAAACGAGGGGAGGGGCTGAGAGTCACCAATCCCAGGGTGGCTAGAGGGGAGGAGGAAGGAGGAGGAGGGAAACTGCAGCCCAGACACATTCACACACTCACATACACACACAAACCACAAACCCAGCAGTGAGCTCAAGTTGGCCAGCAGCTCACTTTCCAACAGCACCTGAGCCACGCACACTACGGAATGGTGTATGTGTCTTTCACACATTTTCCGTGCCAGGTCTAGCTCAATAGGTATGGACCCCTCCTAGTTCATCCACCCACTCCTTGTTTTATAGACCTTCCGACCTAATTGCCAGACCAGAACACTTTCAGGTAGGGTTCTTTCTGTGTCTCCCACTACCTGGATGACCAGACCCAGGCCCCTGAGGACTGGGAGGTGAGCCTATTGTCTCTCCAAGCCCTTACTTCTCTGTCCCCCTCCCCACTGGAAACTGACCCAAGTGGAATGCGAGAACTGTGCCCATCACTTTGATCGTCATACCAAGTGAAGGTCAGCACTTCTCCCCTGCTACTGAATTCAGTAGATTTCAGTGTCTGTCCCCATCAGCAGCTCCTCCATGTTAATGTCTCTCCTCTCAGCCTCCCCATCCCACTGCTTCTTGACCCTGAATCAGCCTGACTTAGTTCTTCCAAAATTTAACTTCTATCCCTCCTGCTGTAATCCCAGAGGAGAGGAACAGAACATGACGGTTGAGCTGTTCCCCGATCCCCACCCCCGTCCTAGCATTGATCTCTTAATTGCTGCTTGCCTTTTTCCTACTACACGTTTTCCACTCTAATCTGTCTTCCTGCTGCTCAAGCCTCTTCTCCCTTGAACTTTCAAGTCTCTGTTCACCCCCACACCCAGCTGAGGGGGCTTATGCTGCTCATTTCACACCCAAGTTAGGGAGCCCTGGGGAAAGAGTTGGAGTCAGGATCAGAGACAAATTCCAGAGAGAGACAACAGGCTGCAAAAGACTAAGGAAGATAAAAAGTGAGAGACATCAGAGTGATCAATCATGGAATGACCACTACATGTAGGTAGGAAATATTCCTATTTTTCCAATGAGGAAACAGACTCTGAAGGTGAAATGACTTGCTCCGGGACACAGCTACAAATCAGTCCACAATAGCCTTTCATGTACTGGTGTGGGCCTTGAGGTAAAGAGGGAACAGAGGCAGTGGATGGCTCACCTCTCTAAGAGACCGTCTACTCTCCTGATGTGGGGCACGAACTGCAAAATCGGCAGTTCAATCCACCAGCCACTCCTCAGAAACCCTAGACAGAGTGGTGATGTGTCAGAAGTGACACGACAGCACTTAACAACAACTCTTCTACAATTTGGGATTTGGAAGAAAGCCTTAACTCGGTTGTGCATTTACTACAAAGACTTCTGCTCACTGAGGCCTTCCCAATCACCGTGTTTAAAATTACAATCATCCCAATGCTCCTTATCCCCTCCTTCTTTTTGTTCTTCCTAAACCAAACCAATGAAATCCACTGCCGTCCAGTTCACTTCAATTCAGTGACCCTACAGGGTAGAGTATAACTGCCTCATAGGGTTTCCAATGTTGTACATCTTTATGGAAGAGACTGCCTCATCTTTCTTCCAAGAAGTGGTTGGTGGGTTTGAACCACCAATCTTTTCGTTAGCAGTCCAATGCTTAACCCACCGTGCAACAATTTGTTCTCCGTTTGTTATTGTTGTGACACGCCATTGAGTCCGTTCCTACTCATTAAAACCCCATATAGGGTTTCCAAGGAGCAGCTGGTAGGCTTGAACTGCTGGCCTTATGGTTTGAAATCCAGTGCTGATCCTACAGTGCCACACCAGAAGTCCTTGTTCTCCATAGGATGTTATTATGTTATTGTTGTTGTTAAGTGCCCTAGAGTCAGTTCTGATTCATGGTGATGCCATGTAGGATTTCCACTGACTTTGCGGTTCAAACCGACCTTGCAGTCTAGTGCACTGTCCTGCAGTGCCAAACCAGGACACTATTTTAATCATCATTACTCCCTTACTAGAATGTAAGCATCATTAAGGTAAGGGTTTTGTATCCCTAACCGTATAGAGTTTGGCATGGAATAAGTGCTTAATAAACATTTATTTATAAGCCGAAAAAGGCAGAGCCACTTTCCTGTATTTTCCCCTAAAACAGGATCTTTTATAGAGGTTTTTCAAGCACTCATGGGTCTTGAAGTATTTGTCTCCCCACCCACACTCCCAGGAAGGTGGTCCATATACTGAGAGAGGTCCCCTCAGGGTAAGACCAGCAGCTGGGTCTCTAGGTCTCTTTATATACAAGAAACTAATGGGGCCTCATTAGAAGGTCCCCATTACCCAGCTAATTATAGGACTCTGTGAGCAGGGAACTCGGGACTCAGGGTTGGGAGCACTTCAGTGAGAAGAGTGGAAGATGGGAGGCAGTTTACATGCAAATGTTATGGCTGGTTTAGTTCTTCAAGAACCTCAGGTGCTGTTCCCAACTGGACCTCGACATCTCCCCTCCCCAACCACCATCCAGAGAAAGAAACCCATAGTGGCAGGCTGGAGTGGAGAGGGAAAGTGTTGGAGGAGGGGCGAATTAGACAGAGCTGAGGACCAAAGCTCCCAGGGTCCTATCTCTTTGCAACACCCCCCTATGCAGTCCATCCCTGCCCCCGAGCCCAGGCACCAGGGAAGCAGAGCTTCAGCAAAGGTCCACCATGAATAATGTCCTTTGATGATGCAGCAGCTCACAGAGGGTGGCCAGCACCAAGGATTCAGGGAGCAATGGGATGGCAGGGAAGAACTGATCACCCCTTGATCTCTGAGATTCTCAAAGACTTGAAAGGGTTGATGTTAAATTAAATTAGAAAGGTGGTGAGTGGGTCCTGCTTCATTTTTCCACAAATTATATTCAAATGACATGTAAAGTAGGTGTTTGGGCTACAGAAGTTTGTTTGTGTGTGTGTGTGTGTGTGTGTGTGTTTTTAACACCTACTGTATTTGAAAGGAGCTCTGGTAGCTGGTAGTGTAGTGGTTACGAATCGGGCTGTGAACCTTTCGAAACTATCAGCCGCTCCACGGGAGAAAGATGAGGCTTTCTACTCCCGCAAAGATTTACACCCTCGGAAACCCTGTACAGGGTCGCTATGGGTCGGAACTGACTCGACGGCACTTAACAACAACAACTCTATTTGAGCCACATATCTGAGACTGCCACTGGCTTACTTGGAGCTGTGTACTTGGATCCCAAAGTCTCTAGAAGGTTGCCTCTTGCAGTTCCCCGTTTGTTGCTGAGGCCAGGGAATAGTATACATAGTTGTGCTAAGATAAACCTTGCTAGCCGGCCATTCCCCAGGGGACAGGGATGGAGGCAGACCCCTCACGTACCTGTGCACACAAAATGACCTGCACATGCCAGCCACAGGTGCACACCTTGGGTGCACAGATGTGGGCTTCCTCAACATACTTCAGGGGCGCTGGTGAGGAAGGAAAGGGCCAGGTCCACACGGAGCACTGGGTGAAGAATGGAAGGATGGCAGCACCAGCACCTGGCCAAATCCTGCTGCCTGGAGACAGCTTGGAAACCACCCACCAAGCAAGGAACTAGAAGAGCTCCTCGGAAACTGGAGGAAGACAGCCAGGACTGGAGGCCTGTGCTAGAACTGGTTTGAACTATGAGATGCTGACATGGCTCCACAAGAGGGTTAAGAGCACCTAGGATAGCTTGTGCCCCTCTGGAGTTAAAGCAAGCTAGATCTTCAAGATACTGTACTGGCCAAGAAGGGGGACAGCTGAGGGGTAACTGGGAGCAGAGGGGATGAAGACCCATTCAAACTTGTAATAAAATGCGGAGACTGAACCCCTCCCTAGAGGTTGCAGGCGATAAAAAGAGATGCTCCTGGGCCCCAAAAGATGAGACAAAGAGGAAAGGCAGAAGAATCGAGGAGAGGGCAAGGAGCCCCATTTCCCTGAACTAGCTTCAGTCAGCGTGACCGGTTTCCTCTACCCACCCACCCGAGACCAGAGAGCTGACAGGGCCTTTAGCCCCAGGAAAGGAAAAGTAGGGTAGGGAGCAGCAGCTGCATATTCTCCTGAAATTGCTTCTGAAAATGACCAGACACTTCACCGGGAAAGTGACGACAATTTGGGCCCTGGGAGCAGGAGATGAGGCGAGAGAGCGGGGGTGGTCAGGCTTGGAGCCACCCACCCCACTCTCTGCCAGATAGGATCTCCTCAGCCTGATTCTGAGAAGTCAAGGACTGGGGGGCGGTGGGGCGGTGGGGGGGGGGGGGCTGCCAGGAGTCGGAGAAGGCTAGACCCAAGATACGCTTTCAGCTCAGAGCAGGGTATGTCATGAGCCAAGAGCAAGATTAATCTGTAAGCAAGGGGAGAAGTTAATCAGGGCTCCCTCGCCGGCATGATTGCCTGGGGCCGTGAGCAGTGTGTTGATGGGAGTGGGAGCTGATGCAGGGAAAGACCCCAGCCTCATGGTACAAGGAGCTCAACAAAGACAGGGACAGGGAGGAAGCAGGGGATTAAGAGATCGGGAAGAGACCTCTGGAGTCAGAAACAAAGGCAGCCATTTGTAACACTTTCAGAGCACAGATCTAAATACTGTAAATACATGAGCTGCTTGTCCTTCCCCAAAGGTAGAGACTGAGAACATGAAAGGCTCGGATAAAACAGAAACGTATGAGGAGATGATAGGAAAGGTGGCATAAAAATATTGAAAGCATTATACAAAATATTATGTGTTGATATTAAGAGCCCACAGAAGCAGGGACAATGAGGTACAAGACAGTTGAAGACAGAGAAAAAGATAGCAACAATGACACAGGGAAAATTTATGAGGAAAGAGATAGAATCAGAGATGAGCGAGTCTGGGCATGGGGGTGGAGGTGACTCCTTCTGCCCAAGTGCCACCAGCTGCAAGCCCCAGCTGTGGGACAATGATTACCAAATAGCTGTTGGCAAAGGGGAAAAATGCAGAAGAGAATTTCAAATTTTCATGGACTCCAGACTTTCTGGAGCCATGGAGGCCACAAGCCCCTGAAGCTATTGCCCTGGGATAATCTCTAAATCTTAAACCAAAAATATCCCCTAAAGTCTTCTTAAAACTAAACAATAGTTTCAAAAAGGTCTGGCTTGAGATTTATGTTCTTTTAAGAACTATCTAGAGTCCTGGAGGAGCACCTTGGGTCAGACTATAAAGTCATTTGAACTGCAAGGTCAGTGGTTCAAGCTCACCAGCTGCTCCTTGGAAACCCTATACAGGATCGCTACGGGTCTTGATCAACTCGACAGTACTGAACAACAACAACAATCTCTATGGAATCAAATTGACCAAGATTAGACAGGAACCTTAGGGGGCAGCGAGTTAATGGAGGAGGATCTACTCACATAAGAAAGATGAGCCTAGTTACCCCATTCAAAGACTGGAACCAATACACTGAAGTGTGCACGTAGAAACCGTTGACTGCGGTTTGTGTGTGTGTGTGTGTGTATCTTCTCAACAACAATAAAATACATTTTAAATAAAAAAGTTGTTTGCAGCAGTCTGATGTTCCAGGTGTCTGGCAAGAGAGGGGGTGCCAGGGAGGTAGGTGTGAGCAGACTGGTGCCAAGCTTGGTGGTAGGTGACCCTGCCTTCCCCAGCTCACCTCAGTTTACCTGGGCCTCTTTTCAGGCAAACTCTCCAAAAGATCTGTTTCCACCAAAACAGGGATTCTCACTTCTTTGCTCCAGGGACACACTTAATGAATCAGCCCAGTGGCCACCTGCGACCCACCAGCGCTCCATCCCTGCTGGCCTTCTCTTCCCCTCCCTCACACCCCAGCCTCTCCAAACCTTGACTGAGCTCAGTCGGGTCAAGGAGCCCAGAGGTAATTTCCCTCCGTGACCATTCTTATTTTATGCTTTAGCTGGCTCCGAAGAGCCTTGTGGAGTCCTGGTGTGGTGCTGCAGATTAATGCGCTGGTCCAAACCTTTCAGAAATCACATGTTTTATTAGTGCCCACTTTATATCAGGGCAAAGAAGCTGGGAGCAGGGATAGGGGGACCCTAAGTTTGGAGGAGAAGACTAGGAAGATGTGGGAGAAGAAAGAACTTCTTCAAAGGTTCTTCAATCAACAATCCCAGCCCCACCATGAGACTCTCCCAAACAGGTGGGTGGAGGGACAGTGGGTTCAGGTCCAGGAGGAAGTTGCGGTCTCAGCGTTAGGCCCCGCCTCACTGCACAGTCACCTCCAGGTTATGACTCCCCTTCTTCTTGCAGCTTATCTTGCCATTCCCACCACCTGCAGGGCCCTGGGTGACTTTAACAGCCACACTGCTCTGCTTGAACCTCACTGAGAACCTGGAGAGGGGAACAGACAGAAAGACAAAGCTGATCCCCACTCCCTCTAAACACCTGACTCCACTCCACCCCCCAATTTGTGAAGGCTTCTCCTCCCCTGCCTGAGACAAGTCCATGCCCTGTGAGCTTCATCAGAGAACTTAGTGTGGGGATTAAGAAACACCTCCCAGCCCTACCCTGACCTGGTAAGGCCCACTTTCTGCCTACATCCATTTCTGCCGGTCACAGTGACCAACAGTTTGGTCAGCTCCCTTGCCCCCAGCTCACAGCCTTACTTCTCAGTCATGGTGACTGGCAGCTGCTTCTGCAGGGTAGCCAGCACAGTCTGGTACATCTTGGTCAGCAGTTCAATCACATGGTCACTGATCAGCAGGAAGTCTCCCTTAGAACCCACTGATGATAGCTTAGGAAGAAAAAAATACCAGTGAAGGGATTCACTTTCATCAAAGGGAAGAAACATCAGAGGATGAAGGAACAGACCCAGAGTGTGGGGTCTGGTCACTGTCACCTCTAATCCCAGGGAGCCAGCAGCACCTTCTCTAGTCCCAGGCCCTGCCCCAGCCTGGCCCTGGTACCTCACTCATATGCAAGCTAAACAGTCCATCCCTGAGGCTGGTGACTGATACCCCAGCCACATTGTCCAGCCCAATGACAGTCTTGGTCTGGGACTTCTTGGTGTCTGTGAGAATCACATGTCTCCTGGTCAGGAGAAGAATCCGAGAGGAGGTCTAGGACAGAACAGGAAAGGGTGAGGAAAAGCAACACTGAACTACTAACCACAAGGTCAACGGTTCAAACTCACCAACTGCTCCTGGGAAACCCTATGAGTTCATTATGAGTTGGAACTGACTTAACAATAACTCCACTCAGTGTCAGAGGCTTAATTAAGCAAAGGAGAACCCAAGACACACCCCCAGCCCTCTCAATCTTGCCCCTAGGGGCCAGCCCTACAGCTGGGGGTCAGGCTTTGGGAGGAGTTCAGGAGTCAGGCCTTTACCTTGCCATTGCCACGGTTGACTTTTCTCACAGACTCTGCCATCAGAATAGGTCCTTCTTCCCCACCCTTCAGCTTCTGTAGTTTGGGGTTCCCTTGTAGCCCAATGTAGTCACCGCGGAATGGAACGGGGACACTAAGGACATACAGCAGGGCATACAGTGAGGACAAGATCCTTATCACTGATCCCCAAGGCCCTGTGATTTCCCTCAGAGTTCCTCTCTTAGTCCTCCCACACCCGACCCGCCCTCTATCCCATCCTCTAGCTCAGCGCTTCTCAGAGTCTGGCCCCAGATCAACAGAATCAGCATCACCTGTGAACTTATCAGAAAAGCCAATTCTTTTAACCTGAACACGGTGTACCTATTTTTAAATTAGCAAAGACAGTTCACCAGGAATACTGGGCTCCTTTACTTGTCAATGGTGGTGGTGTTGGCATGCCATGGGGTCAGTTCTGACTCACAGTGACCCTGCACAGGGTTTCTGAGGTTGTAAATCTTTACAGGAGCAGAAAGCTTCATCTTTCTCCCGTGGAACCGATGGCAACTTCAAACCACTGACCTTGAGGTTAGCAGCCCAACAGGTAACCTACGTTATCAATAGTAACTCTAAAGCCTTGGGGAACAGCTTAGCATGCAGTGAGTCTAAGTTAAGGTTGGTCAACCCAGTATGAGAAGCAAAAGTAAGAATGGTGACAGAATAGGAGCAATGTCTTTGAACTGCCCATGTACCAAATGATGAAAGGGTATGTGTTTCTACTGTGGATATTTTCACCAAAATTAAAAGAAAAGGAAAAGCAAAAACCCAAAAACCTTCTTAGGTCTCACCTCACCCTGCTAAATCAGAAACTCTGAAGGGTGGGGAGGTACAGCTGCTAACAAGTCCTCCAGGTGATTCTGATGGCCACCCAAGTGTGAAAAGCACTGTTTATGTAGATGGGGCAGGAGGGCCCCACTTAGGAAATCTTCTCTTTGTACTTGAAGAAGGTGCTGCACAGGGTCTGGAGGCCCTCACCTCTGGGGGTAGGATGCCTTCTTGTCTTTGAACAGCTCACTGGCACAGAGCTTCTCCTTCAGGGCCTCTACCTGCACTGGGGACAGCTTATCCAGGAATTTCTTGCACTGGTGAAGAGGGGAAGGCAGGAGCTAAGGTCTCAGGTGGAGAAGGGTGGGGTGGGGTGGGGGAGGTCTGCGGGGAGGACACTCAGGAAAGGAGTAGGAGCTGAGAGACATGGAAGGTGAGGGACAGGGACCAGAGGATACTAGGGCAGACATGGCAGAAGAAAAATACAATAGGGATCAGGGCAGGTGCTAGTCACCCGAGGAGAGGAGGGGGAGGGGTTAGAGGCACACTGAGGAGAAGGGTAGGGGTAGAGGGGCTGTTGGGGGAGGTGAGTAGAGTCAGTCAACTAGAAAAGGACCACAAGGGCCACACCAGCAGCACACAGCGCAAGGCCTAAGTCTTTCCTGAATAAAAGAACAAATGATACTACCTAACAAATGAAAGACTATATCAAGCGCCTGCATAGGAAGACTTAGCAGTGTGAAAACGTAAATACAATAGAAAGTGACCTATAGGAAAAGGAAGCAAGAAAACATTTGCAACCAAACATTACTCTGAGGCAGGCACACAGAGACAAGAAATCTAATCCCCACATTCCTTCTCACAGTATTTGATTTTTAATCCCAATATTATGCTAATAATTTTGGCTTCTAGAAAGTAAATTTTCATGTGAGTTTGCAGGAAATAGCACAACAACTTTAAAATATAACTTTAGGTAGTGGTACAATAGAGACTTTCTCATGTGGAAGAACAAAAAGAACAAATGAAAGGAAAATTGCCTCAGCATCAGGAGATGCTGCCCTGGGCCTCCTCACCTTCCACTGATAGAAGAGCTGCCGCAGCTCCTGATTAGCTACATTGAAAACTTTGTAAGGAGCAGTTGGCCACTTGTTGTCCAGGACTTTGGTGGACGGCAGATTATTCTTCAGCCCCAGTAGGAATTTCTGTGCCTGGATAGGAGCAGGGGACATGGGGGGCAGTGATGAGAAGAGATACTTCTGATGGGTGAGTTCACATCCAGATCCAGTTAAAAGAAGGAAAGCCACCCATAGTGGGAAGCAACAGAGGCACTGAGTAGATAGAAGTCATCTTCCTACATCTCTTTCAGCATGAAGTGGAGGCTTGGGCCTGAGAAGTAACAGCATGAATGGGAGACTGGAGGGAGGGAAGGATTGGTTCCAACCAGAAACCTACTACCCAGGGCACTGAGGTGGGAAGAACCAATATAAAAACTGGCCTAAGTGTTTTGCTCTTGTGACTTCCCTTTATTGTCGGTTCACCTACAACCGTCAGCCACTGCCTGCATTGGTTATTAGACAGGTACCAAATCTTCTCTCTGATCCTTCAAGCCCAAACACCTCAACCTGGCATTCAGATTCTTCCACTTAGAGTCCAACTCCATGCCACAAGATCCCCTGCATTCTCCTGGAACCCCACCAGACATGCCATACCCTATACCCAGCCCATGCTTTATTACTGTGCCTTCTTTGCTCATATTGGACCTCTCAGATCAACTCTGCCAACTCACATTCTGCCCATGCTTTGAGATTCAGCTCAAAGCCTTCTCTGATTCCCTTGACCAGGAACAGAACTCCAGAGCACTTATCTATACCTTTGTCTTTGTACAACAGCTATCTGTTTACCCTCTTCTTGACAGTGAGTCCTTGGAATGCAGCATCTCAGGGCTTCAGCAAGGTTTTTCATTGTTTTCTTTTTAACATTCAACATGCACTGATTATCTACTTTGTTCCTGGCACACAACAGTGAAGGGAGCAAAGCCTTTATTCTCATTGAGCCTTTATTACACTCTACTGGGGAGTGAGGTGGGAAACAGACCACAAGCAAATAAATGTATGATATAGTGCTCAATAATGCTGTCTGCTCTGATGATAAAAAGGCAGGGCCTGAGGCAGGAATGAGTGGTATCAGGTTCCAAATACAAAATGCAAGCAAGTGGGGCTGCAGTAAACTGAGCAAGAGAGACAATTAGAGAGTAAATCAGGGGCAGACCACCACTAACAGCTCCATAGACTATAGTAAGGATCTAGGCTCTTATTTGGAGGGAAATGGAACACCATTAGAGAGTTTTGAGCAGAACAGTTACATAACCTGACTTAAGTCTCCTTTTAATTTAATTTATTTAACACATTTCCAAGCTTGTAGAACAGTTGAAAAACCAGCACAATGAACATTTGCTAAATTCACCAACTATTACTATCTTGCACTATTTGCTCTCACTTGTTCTCTGTGTGGGTGTTATGCGTGCACGCACGTGTACACATAAACAGATAAAATGCACACACATATATGCATTTAAATCCACACATAACACCCTAAAGTAGATTACAGATATCATGACATGTGCCCCTAAAACCTCATCATGCATTGCCCAAGAACCAGAACATTCTCCAACATAATCATAATTCCATTGCCACACCTAAGAAAACCAGCATTAACTAGATACCCTCATCCAACAGCAATCAGTGCACCCTCAAATTTCTCCCCGTGCCCATTATAACTTATATACATGTCCTTATAGCCTTGTCTTTATTTTTAATGCTCCACCAAGATTCAATCAAGCTTCCCCGTTGTAGCTAGTTAGTCTCCTCAAGTCTATTCCAGAGAGCACCTAACTTTATGGGATAGAATGTTGTCCGGAAAATGACTTCATCTTGGGAACTCCCAAGGTCTTAGGATGAGGAAAACCTTTTCCTAAGACATAGGTTAAGAAAATTAAAATAGAAAAGGGCAGAGCACAGTCTAACCCTCAGGAGTCATCCAACTCTTTGGAGTTCCACTACAGACCCACAGGATCTGGCCTGGGGAGGCCTCCAATCCACCTTGAAGTTTTCAATCCTTGGTCTCATTTAATTTAATTCAACATTCTTGAACATTTCCCACAATCCCTTTGCTCTAATCAGTGTGGAGTCTCTGAAGGTTTGCTGCTCATCTCTATACAGCCCTCTTGCCCCTAGCTTCTGCCAGTATTAGTTGGGGGCAGTATTTCCAGTTCCAGATGCTATGGCAACCCCAAGTGGGTCATAGGGCTTTCAATGGTTGATTTTTTGGAAGTAGATTGCAGCCAGGTCTCTCTCCCATTACGCAACGGTTAAAAATTCTGGAGTCAGAACATTGTATCCTAGCTCTACCATTTACCAGCTTGTGAGTGGCCCTGGCAAGTTTGTAACTTCTTCGAGCCTTAGCTTTTTTTACTTATAAAATGGGGAAAAGGATAGGCCCTACCTCACAGAAGTGCTAATAACATTACAATATGAGTTAATGCATGCAAACAGCTTAGTGCATAGTAGTAAGTGCTCAGAAGATAATTGTTGTTGTTGTTAGGGGCTATGTAATCGATTCCAACTCATAGTGACCCTGCATAGGGTTTCTAAGGAGCGGCTGGTAGGTTTAAACTGCTGACCCTGTGGTTCGCAATCCAGTGCTTATCCTACAGTGCCACACCAGGACTCCCAGAAGACAGTAGGTATTATCATTATAGTCAGAAACACTGGAAGAATCCATGCCCAGGTACCCCTTCTGTTTTTTGGAGGTATGATTTATTAAAATACAAAGGGGCTTCAAAAAGTTCACAAGAAAAGGTTATTAAAAAATAATGGACCTTCCCTAAAAGCCGAGACTGTAAATTCCAAAGAGGCAAGTTCCCCCCACATACACCCCCCCCGAAAAAAAAAAAAAAAAAAAGCTAAAGAGGATAGAGAGAAACACTGTTAACTGATGATATATGGAGGGGATAATAATCAATGTAATGAAACAAGCTATATGAATGGTTGAATGTGAAGCTGATGATGTGCCCTGTAAACTTTCACTCAATCCAAAATAAAAACATTTAATAAAAATAAATAAATAAATAAAAAGTTCCTGTGCAGCAGATTTGCCCAATGCAAAAACAAACAAACAAAATAATGGAATTTTCCCACTAACTTTTTCAAACCCCTACATATTGGCCTAAACCCAGTGGCTTCTGGGTTGACATTCAGCAGCTGTCTGATAGGTGAAAGAAAGGGTAAAAGGGGCTCAGTCAGGAGATAAGAGCAAAATCAGATGACAAGTCTCAGGTATATAGGGAAAGAACACATACTCCATGAAGCAGACATACTGAAGCCAGGATGAGAGAGGTCATAAAAGGCCGGGAAGAAGAAACTCCCCTAGGAAGGGAGGAAGAGAATGCAGGAAAGGCTCTTAATATTGGACTAGTCAGCCCTACATATTTCCTTGCTCTGCTTATCAATAAAGCTTCTCCTTTCTAACAGTTTTGTTAAAACATTTAGCACCATTCGCTTTTGAGGCCTATTTGCCCATGGATCAGAACCTAGGTGTGTTGGAATCTCTTCTAGCCCAGAAGTTGCCTAGAATGTCCACGTAACCCAAATGCTTTCTGATTCTGCCCCTGGGCCCCAAGCACTGGGGCTGCTCCTGGAAGACTGCTACCTCAAACCCCACATCTTCCTCTTTCAAACCTGTCCCTCTCTCCTCCACCCCAGCTCCCACCCTCAGGCCCCACCACTTACCAAGCTCTTGTAGATGAAATTGGCCAACATGAGGGCTGCCCCTGACCGGAAGTATTTTCTATAATTCTTGCGTGCCTACAGGACAGAAGAGCCAATGTGAAAACTACCCCTGGAGAGAATACAGTCAGACACCCCAGTAGTGAAAAGAACACAGAAAGCAGAAGGTGGATCAGTCTACCAGACATACATACAAATCCCCCAACATACAGTCACACTGCCAGACACACAGACGTGCCATCACACAGGGCTATGCCCTGGATGCTCCCCAGAAACTGGCACAATCCAGGAGGAGTCTGCAGGAAAGGGACCCCATGGGGAGGCCCCACCCTTCCTCATTACCTTCCACCCTCTCACAAAGGCCTGGATCAACAGTGCTGATGCTCTCATCTTCCCATAGCGCTGCTTTTGCTGCAGAAAAATTGGGCCTTTGAGAACATCCTCTAGGAGACCTGCCACCCAAACCACCTCTCCTACTGCTTTCTCTCCCTACTAGGGGCAGGAGAGCCGTCTTTGGGGCCAGCTGATACCATGTTTCCCCGAAACCAGGCAGAGATGAGGATCTGACTCTTGCGCATTTGCTGGTAGTGGGTACGGCAGCGCCAGCCTCGGTATGTCTTCTGAATGAGCGTGGCTAACTGCTGGATTCTGAGGCGTCGTTGTTCTTCCAAGTGGAAAAGCTGAGGAGAGATGAGATAGGGCAGAGAGGCTGGAGAGGAGCACTCTTCACCACACCCACAGTACCTGAGGCTTCCAGTTCTTTGTTGAATCATTCAGTCACCCTGTTAAGTCACTCATTCATTTGTTCATCCATGCATTCATTTCACAAGCACTGTGCTAGGTGTTGGGAAATCAGGCATGATTTCCTGCCCTCAAGGACTTCCACTTCAGGTAGAGGGATTCAGGGATCGAGCAAGCACCAAGCTCAGGCAGGGGTGGGAAGCCAAGGCTTCAGGACCAGGAGATAAAGTCCCTGCAGTGAAGAGATTTCTCATCCACCATCCATTCAGGGTTATAAAGCTCCCCTCCACCCCCAGCCTCTCATTCCTCCACCTTCCCACCATTCCACTCCACCAAACACAAGTGCACTCTCCAACTCACAGTCTTGGGGCTCCTAATGAAGATTTTTGTCTTTCCAAAGGCCAGCTCCTCTGAGGCCACATTCAGCTCCTCCAAGATCTTCTTAACCCCTTCCCTACAGAGAGCATATGGGAGAAAGCTTCAGAGGGACCTCGCAGGAGATGGTCCTTCTCCACCTTCTCCTGAACCCTGTTTATCTTGAGGAATAGGGCTCAGGACTCAGACAAACCTCAGAGCCTCCAGAAAGTGATGATTTAAGTGATTTCCCCAAGAATCCATTCTGCAAGTTTTAGTAGATATGCACAGCATCATCCCTCCCTGGTCTCTAACCGGGAGATGTTCCCTTCATTGCTTTTCCTGCTCCCCAGCCTCCCCACTGTGTCTTACCGGTCTTCCCCGTTCCAGCTAGGCCAGGTGCTCCGGGTCAGCATCCGGTACCTTTCCAGGAAGGGCCAATAAACCTGGCGGTGGGCATAGCCTGCCCGTCGTACCCGTACATTCTCTAGCAGCCCCAGGTACCGTGCCTGGGTGGCCACCAGCTCTGAGGAGAACTGACCACGCTGCTGATGCTCATTGGGCTTAATGCACCTAGAGGGGAGGTAGAGCAAGGCATGGGCCTCAGGAGCTGATACTTTTGCCAGGGTAACAAACCCCAAGTATACATACACATTCCTCTTAGTGGACAAATTTCAGAGGAAGGAGATGTGCTGATCTTCTGTTTTATTCACTACTGATGCTACCAAAGTCTGATGTTTTCCCCCACAGGAGTCTCAGCTCATCTGGCTGTTTTCCATGAGCAACAGACTTCTGATCTCCTTATTGCACGCACACACACATGCAATAACCCATGGGCATGTTCTAAAGTGCATGAACTCTTTATGTGCCATCATGTGTGTAACACATCCACCTGGGTGCCCAGTACGTCACCTGATATAGTTGGGGTTTTTGGAATACAGGTTCTTCATGAGTATGGCCACAGAATTCTTGAATTGGGCCCCAGCAGTTGGGGGACGTTTCAGAGATGACTGCTTGGGATCACCCTCAGGGAATAAGGACTTAAGGAGGGGATGCTTGGCTTTCCACATGGCCTGGGACAAGTCCCGGAAGAGTAAGTCGTTATTTTTGTCAATGAAGCTGCTCACATTGTATGTCACCTGCAGAGAGATAGCTATTGGCTTGAAGGCAATAGCTTTCCATGGCCCTGTCCCAGCACTTGGCCCTCCCCAATGCCATGGTAAAGTATTCCCAATTTCACCTCCCCCAACCCCTCCACCATTGCCTTCAGTCTTTGTCCCCCAGGCTGCCTCATCACCTTGCCCGCATAGTGGCAGATTCGGAAGCAGCTGAGGCCCATGGTGTGGTCGTACTGGCGCTGGGCATTCTGGGTGACTTTACTCTCATAGTGACCATGCTTGGAGAAGAGCTGATTCAGCTTCGCTAGGAAGGTAGAGTCACTAACCACCCCAGGCCGTAGGCACTCCTCATCCAGCATGGCCAGGATGCCTCGCTGATTCTGAACCAGGGGAACAAGATCAGCCCAACCCTAGACCTGGTCCCCAAGATGTCCATGCTCTCACCGCTGCCCCCTTCTGATTCTTTGCCCTCTTTACCAAATGCCAGGGCAGGGCAGGGCAGGATGTTCAGGTTGTGCGGAAGGAGTGGGCTCAGAGGTAAAAGAAGGATAACTCACATGTTCAATGAGGTTGCAGATGATGCCATTATCAAAGTAGTCCACCTTTGTCCATGGTATACCCTGACAAGGGAGATACAACAACATGCAGGCCATAGATCCAAAAGTCCCCAAGGCCTCACTAGCACCAGCTGCCCCTTTCAACCACCCAACAAGGGACCATCAGAAAGCTCCATAGTTGGTTTTTGGTTTTTGGGTTGTTGGTTTTTAACTGCCTTCCCTGTCATCCAAATTTAACTTGTGTCTACCCTTAGCCAGTGAATAATTATCCCATCCCTCCCACCTCTGATAACCATCACAGAATGTTTCTTTTAACATGAAAACCTTTTCTTAACATTTTACAATAGTAGCCTCATATAATATTTGTCCTTTTGTGACTATTTTCAGTCAGCATGCCTTTCAGGTTCATCCATGTTATGGTTATGAGGCATTTCATAGATTCATGGTTATTCTTCAAGGCTGCACAGTATTCCATTGTGTGAATGTAGCAAAGTTTGTTTAACCATTCTTCTGTTGAAGCTTCATAGTTTTGAGAGATATTTTGGTTTAGTTTCTGTTTACATTCACATCTCTCCAAGACTGGTTGAGAATTTGTAGGATGGGAGGACCCAGAGCAGCTGAGAGGGAGAGTGAGACAATGCAGGGAGCTCTGTAGGTGGGGTAGGGTGGAAAGGGGAGTATGATGTGCTGGGTGAGGGCTGGGATAGGGATTATCCCACTGGGAGAGTGGGAAAGTATCCATATGTATGGGGAAAAGCAAACAGTCATACTACTTTGGCAATGAATTATAAAACCTGAGTCCATGAGCAAGAACTCATCATTAAACAACAAAGCTACTTTGATACATTTTCAGTGATTCTCGGCCTTGAGTGTATAGTATCATCACCATGGAGGACTTGTTAAAACACAGATTGCTTGGCCCTGTCTCCAGAGTTTCAGCAGGTCAGAGTAGGGCCTAGGGACTTGCATTTCTAATACATTCCCAGGTGATGCTGATGCTGATCTACATAATACCTCTGAAATTGTATAATAATAAATTTAAAGAAAAAAAACAGGAGTGGTACAGAACCAGAAGCCCCAAAGACAATTGTTCCTTACTCTATGGACTTGTGGGCTTTAGTTCTGCAGGCAGGATGGCTCCTGACCCCACACCAGTCCCAAAGGTCAGACTCCTAGGCTAAGTATGTCTGGGGAGCACAAGCCTTCTCTCTCCCAGGATGAAAGTAAGTCAAGTGGCCCTACCACTTCATCCCAAAACTAACTTCCCTAACTGACTAAATGAATTATAATATACTTATAATCCTTTGGCGCTATATTAAACACACGCACACACATCTTTATACACTGATCTGGAAAGATAAAAGTATGGTCCAGGATAGAGTGTATTTACTGCCATTTGTATAAAATTTATAGAAAATAGATACATTTACAGATTTGCCAGTATATACACAAAATAATTCTGGAAGGAGGGACTTTGACTGTCTTCTGCCTTAGCTGGGAAGGTTGGAGCAAGGGTGGGAGGGAGATGCCTCACTTTATATATACCCTTTTAAGCTTTTTGAATTTTGAAGCATGGGCATGCATTATCTACCACACAACTGTATCAAAATGTATATTACCTCAAATTTTTTCCCCTTGATTTCAGCATTATTGAAATCACATAGTATCAACAACAAATTCAAAGCAGAAAGTAATTCAATCATGAAAGTGTTAAAACAAGCAAAACCACTAAAAACACTTTTCTACAAATTACAACCACATTGGCCAAAATTCTGGTGTAAGAAGTTCTTCAGAGCACACGGGGAACACTCATGCAAGGGGTCTGATGAGTGATACTCTGCCATTCACACTTTGGGGTGGATTTTCTCACTCAGAGATTTTTGCAACACCCAACCTTTCTAACCGGGGTTGTCACTGAATTCAGAAGGCAGTGTGGAAATGTTGAGCCATGGGGTAATTCTGGTGAGGAAATCGGGGGTCAGGGTGTTGCAAGAGGGAAGGGTCAGAGCTGTCAGGACCCCAGAGGAGAAGAAGAATTCTGAGATATTAGAGAAGGGCAAAGGAAGGGATGTGGTGGGGTGCCAAGCCCAGAAGAAATGTCCCTTCTAAACTGGCTTCACACTGCCATCAGCCAAGCACAGCTGTCACACCCCCTTGTCAGGACTTTCCACACGCATACACGCACCCGTCCATCAATCTGGCCCCTTCTGGAGCAGGAGGCTGGGGTGTCGGGAGGAGACAGCAGAGAATTAGGGCTACTTGGCAATGCTGCAGTGTTCAGCTATGCAAGGGGAACTTCTTGTCCTTTGGGTTCCCATTTGGAATTTCCCAGGGGAAATTGTGATCAAGGAGAAAGATCTGGTATATATCTTAGCAGCCAGTTCAGAAGGAGGAAACAGGGAGAAGATTCTGTTTACCTCTCTCTTATATTCCTCCTGCTCCTCTTTCAGGGTGATTTCTATGAACACCTGTTGTAGCTTTTCATTGCAGTAGTTGATCACAAATTGCTCAAAGCTGTTATCCTGAGGGCGAATAGACAAGTTAAAGAGAGCAGCGCATCCCCAAAACCTTCCTCCCCTCTCTCCCATCCCCCCTTTGAACCAGACCACCTCTGTTACTGTGTGCTGAGTCGATTCTGACTCATGGAAACCCTATATGAAAGAGTAGAACTGCCTCATAAAGTTTTCTGGGCAATAATCTTTACTGGAGCAGGTTGCCAAGTCTTTTCTCCAGTGGAGCCACAGTACATTCCAACCACAAACCTATTAACACTTGACCATTGTGCCACCAAGGCTCCTTTGTCCAACTCTAACACTAGGGAACGAACAACAATGCTGAGGTTGGGTGAAGCTTCCTTACCTGTAATATTTCAAAGCCATAGATATCCAGGACCCCCATTACCTTCTTCTTCTCCCCGGTGCCCACCTGAAAAAGAGAGAAAGAGCAGTTTCAGGATAGGCCCTTCTGGGGTAGATGTGACTGGAGCAGGAGGCAAACAGAATCAGGCTGACCTTGACCAAGTTAAAAAGGAACAGTGGTGATTTGATTCTCCTTCCTCCTCCATACACTCCAGGACAAACAAGAGGGGAGGAAAGGAGAAAAAGAAGGTGCAAATAGATTTCTGAATTGTGCTCCCTCGGTAGGAGGCAGGAGAGTCCCCGAGTGGCACAGTATAACACTTAGCTGCTAGTCACAAAGTTGGTGATTCAAATTCACCCAGAGGTACCTTGAAAAAACAGATCTGACCATCTACTTTCAAAACAATCTGCCACTGAAAACCCTAGGGTGCGGGGTTTTACTTTGACACACATGAGATTACCATGAATCAGAATCAACTCAACAGCAACTAGTTTGGTTTTTTTGTTTGGTATGAGCTAGAGAGACACTAAAATCCTCTCAAGATATTACCCATCCTTATATTTGTAGAGCATTTAGAAACAAATTCGTATCAGTATTTCATTAATCCTTACCATACCCTATGAATTATGATTATTTTACAGATGAAGAAAATCAAACCTCAGAAGAACCAAACATTTACCCAAGTCTGTACTCAAATCCCACCAATCATGCTGCCTTTTATCTATACATTCTAATTAGATGGTACAGCTTTGTTGAAATATAATTCACATATCATAAAATTCACCCCATTAAAGTATACAACTCAGAGATTTTTAGTATATTTGCAACCATCGCCACATTTTTATAAGAAAATTCATACTCATTAGTCATCACTCCCCATTCTGTATCCCCCAGACCCCTGACAGCCATTAATCTAGTTCCTCTCTTAATGGATTTGCCTATTCTAGAGATCTCATACAAACAACATATGTGGCCTTTTATATCTGGCTTCTTTCATTTATCATAGTAGTTTCAAAGTTCATTCATGATCTAGCATATAACAGTTCTCCAATCCTTTTTGTGGCTAAATATTCCATCATATGGATATATATTTTTTGTTTATTCATCTGTTGATGGATATTTGAGTTGTTTCCACCTTTGGGTTATTATCAAAAATGCCACTGTGAGCATTTATGTACAAGTTTTTATGTGGTCAGTGTTTTCTGTTCTCTTGGGTATGTATAATTAGGAGTGAAATTGTTGGAGCATATGGTAACTATACATATAAGTTTATCTGGTCTTCACTAAACCCTATGAAGTAGATGTGTGTACCATCTTCCAAATCAGGAAACTGGAGCTCAGAATCTTTGTGAAATTGGAAGGCCATACAGTTAATCAGTAGGGATTCAGAATGTCTAATTCAGAGTCAGTGATGGCTCCATAGCACTATACTATTGGAAGGAACTGTATCCAACCCCTCACCTTCTTACCATTCATCTCAGAACTCAAGGTATAGGGCAAGAACCAGGGCAAAAAAGGTGAGGTAAGTGGGGCCAATGCTGAGATAGCAGAGCTCTTTTACCTTGATACTCTCATTGATTCGGTACACTATCCAATTGAAGAGGCGGTTGTAGATGTTCTTGGCCAGAGCATCCCGAGCATACTGAGCCTGCAGGAGGAGCAGGGTCAAACTGGTCAGCATGGGCAGCCACAGAAGGGGCTCAAAAGCAGCTCCCTCTCACAGGTCCTCTTACCTGAATGATATTCAATGCAGTGACCACTTTTTCTTTGGCCGTTTCCATGGTCCTTGAGCACAAAGCTCTCTCTAGTTCCTTTGAATTTAAGCTCATCATCTCCCCAATCTCCTGAATACCTGGAGTAAGGAGAAAATGGAATATGGCCTGAGAGGCTTTCCCCATCCCACTTCAACCTGGGGAAGGAAGTGGGGCTCATAAGTACAATTGCCTGGAAGATTGGTGTCCCAGACAAGTATGGCCTTGGAGGAATCTTGCAGGGTGGAGGGTTGGGGAGGTGGAGGTAGTAAAAAGGGAGATCTGGGCACTTTGCTGACATTGTTGTTGTTGTTAAGTGCCATCCAGTCGGTTCCAACCCATAGCAACCCTGTTTCAGAGTTTCTGAGGAGCAGCTGGTGAGCTTGAACCATTGACCTTGCAATTCAATCCGACCTTGTAATACAGCACATTAACCCACAGCGCCACACCAGGACTACTTTAACAGGAGAGTCTCCTGAAATAAGCATGGCTATTCCCATTTGAGCTGCAAGGTTGGCAGTTCAAACCCACCAGTCACTCCTTGGAAACCCTATACTTGGTCACTAAGAGTGGAACCAACTCAACAGCACTTAACAACAATTCCCATTTTGTAGAAGAATCACCTGAGACTCAAAGAGGTTCCAGAACCTAGGTCTATCGTACTTCAAATTTTCTTTCCAATATGCCTCACTGGGAGTTCTCAATGAGTCTGTTTTGGGGAGAACTCAGGAGTGGGCTGAGATTGAATCAAGGTTAAGTACAGTAAGCTGGAGATGCTGGAAGTGTGAGAGTGGCAGCAGTACCCTCATACTGGGCCTGGGCGGTGGGGGGGTGGGGCAGGAAGAGAGTGTCCCTCAGAGTGGTGCTAACCTCGCCCATCACGGATGCCACTTGCTTGTGTCCCATTGGCCTGGAACTCATCAGCGAGCTCCACATTCCCCAACTTCAGCACCATGGCTGTCACCTCTAGCACCTGCCGAATCTCCTCTTCTGAGAATCCAATCACAGTCATGGCATTCTTAGGAGGAAAGCAAAAGCAGAAGCTGGACTGGCGGTGTCAGCCCAATGCCTCCTTTCTCAAAACCTGGCTCAGGGAATGGCCCGAGGGCCCCAGCCTGGACACCCACCTGTACATCCCTGAAGTTAGAGACATCATCCATGCCATCCACTCTGGATATCTCTCGGTTCAGATAGGCATAGTGGCTTGTTTCCCGCTCAAGCTTCAGGGCTTCTGGGAAGGCCATTGTGAGGGGAAGAGGTTCGTGGTCAGGCTCTCTGGAGACTTCGTCTTGAAACCACATATCCCTTGCCCTACGCTGGTTCATTCATTTATTCAAAGGAGTTATTTTTGTTTTAGGTTCTTCCCTTTTGTATTTTGTTTTGGAATCATTCATTTCTATGTCACTAAGATTAACTTTTTAAGTGATATGTAGGGTTTGAGTGTTCATAGTTGTCTCTTTTGGTTTTAAACTGTTACAAAAGAAAGGCCTTAGTCTTTTCTTCTCCCCACCCTAAACAATACAATGGTTCTAAATAGTGAAAACAAACATGCAAATCCTGCATCCTACTCAGGAATCAGTGCTTCTGGAGGGCAAAATGGTGCCAGGCAGTGGAAGGAAGGAGAAAGAAGGGTAAGCACATTATCTCCTACCCACCCAATCCCTGGCCTGGGTTAGTTCATTCACTATTATTTCACTAAGCACCAATAAAATGGCAGGTATTGTATTCCCCTGCTCTGACACCTGTTCTAGAAGATTCTCTCTCCCAATGCTGGGCTGAACCAAAGGACTACTTTGTCCCCCTATGGTGAATCTTTAGTCCAGCACATATCACATGAGTTGAGTTTTGTGTCCCATAATTGAGAGCTTGAATGCTGGGAATTCTGTTTCTCTTCTCCATATTTTAAGCACCTGGCACCTGGCATCCAGAAACTTTTATTTTTAAATGAGTCAAGGAAATAGTCAAAGATGGAAAGGATTGGGTTAATCGTGGAGCTTGAAGGATATCAATTATCTTGTGCAAATGATTTCAGATTGTAGCAGAGTTTTTCCAACTAGAGTTTAATGGGAACTTCTCTGTGACATAAATTTTGAAACAGGAGCCTAGTAGAGGATGGTTATCTGTGGGGGCGGATGAGTCAGAAAGGCCCTGAGAAGATGACGTCAGGAAGACCCAGCCCAGACTCAGCTGAGATCAATAGAGTCAGCCTAAATAAGATCCTAGCGCCTGTGATTCAGACAAATTGAACACAACTACAGCTATTAAGCCTGGAGGGAGCTAAGAGCTATGGGGGTTCTTGAACCAAAGAGAACTTTAGAAAGGGAAAAAGAGACAAATACATGTCCAGCATAGAATAGTCAGAAACCCAAGGGACAGATCCACAGGGGTCAGTCACCCAATGTGTTCACAGCTAGAGGGGGAATTGGGAGCCAAACTCTGATAGGGCCTGAAGTCTCATCAGGCCCTTCAGTGATACTCACACAGAGCCAGTCTGGCATAGTCCATGCAGATTCGATGAGCTCACCCATGAGACAAGGCAAGGTATTCCATGCCTCCTACTCCGATAACCAACTGCTCAGGTCTGTTGTCACTGACCACTCTGTACTGCACTGTGTCTGTTCATACATCTATCATCCCTAGAAGACTGTAAATTCCTGTCTTACTCATCTCCTGGGATGTCTGATCATAGTAAGCATTCAAGAGGTTCAGTAAAAGAATGAATGGGTAGAAGTTCCATGTTGTTGTTGTTATGTGCAGTGGAGTCGGTTCTGACTCATAGCGACCCTGTACAGGGTTTCCAAGGTTGTAAATCTTTACAGGAGCAGAAAGCCTCATCGTTCTCCCAGGGAACAGCTGGTAGTTTCGAACTGCTGACCCTGAGGTTCACAGCCTGATTTGTAACCACTACGCTACCAGAGCTCCTTAGAGTTATCTAAAAAGAAGTCAGTGGTTAGGGTCCTGGGTGAGGCAGACTAAATGCAGGACAACCTCAACTAGAGTTCACTGACAGTTCTTGAACATTGGTAACATCCTGTGTGTCCCACTAATTATTGATAAAGTTCCTTAAAACTGAAGATCTGAAAGGATGGTAGATGAAAATGGCTGTTCCATTTCTGAAGCCAGCTTGGAGGAAGACGAACTCGAAACTGACAGAGGAATAAGGTCAATGACAAGCAGGCTTATCCTTGGCAATAAAACCCCAGAAATAGGAGGCAACACAAAGGTCAGGGGATTTGCTCCCAACAATGCATGAGTACATTTCAGGGTGGGGAATGCAGGCAAGGCAAAGTCTGGAGGGAGGAACTCAAGGGGCCAAGTGGAGGTTGGGGGATGCTCTATCATGTGTCTAGGGCAGGCACTTACTTAGCAGTTGTGCATCTGCTCCAGCCAGCAACTGATAGAAGATGTGGAAGTTTCTTTCTCCTTTAAGTTGCTTCACCACTCGAGATTTCTCAAGCAGATCTGCCAGAGAGTTAGAAAATAGTGTCCTGAGAGCTTGGAAGAACCCAGTTTTCCCCTAATTCTGCCTTCATCCCTGATCTTCCTAGTAGTTGGGAACCCCTTAGTAGTCTAATCGTCCTCCTTTCTATAGCATTAGATTAGCAGAAAGAAACACCCCAGGACAGGTAGAAGAGACAGGTGGAGAATGGGCAGGAGGAGGGAGGCACGTACAGTTTGTGATGACGCCACCGAGGGGAGATCCCTTAAAGTCAAACTCGATATCCATGTATTTTCCCTTCAGAGAGAGAACACAGATTTTGTTTCCTCATCCTTTCCACCTTCGCCTTCAGGAAGGGTTTGTGCTGCATTGCACCCTTTCAAGTCCCCACACCCTCTCCTCCTGGGCCAGGGGAGATAGTCACTCACAAATCGAGAGGAGTTGTTGTTGCGTATAGTCTTAGCATTGCCAAAAGCTGCAGAGATGAGGAGAGGGGATGTGAGGTAGGGCTGAAGGGAGAGATAGGGCTCTAGACAAGGGAGCAGAGGAAGACCCCCCAGTCATCATGCCATCTCAGATTTTTCATGCTGAATGAGAACAGTGCTTATAAGGACACCAGGGGAAGAAGGTCCAGGCTTGAGCCTCTGGGAATATAGGGAGGACCCAGCAAAGACCAGGAATTCTCACCCTCCAGCACTGGGTTTGATTGAAGTAGTTGCTCCTTCACAGAATTCACCTGCTCCCCTTTCCCACAGACAGCTGCCACATAAGACATCACCAGCTTACTAGCCTCTGTTCAAAAGAATACTTCACATGGATCCCCTTCTGAGTTCACCATTCCCCCCATCACACCTTCCTTAATTTGTCCTCATTCCAGCACTGCACACCCCTCAGAGTCAGAAAGGCCAGAAAGGAATATTGGTGAAGGACATGGTAGGACTAAGCCTGGCTTAGAGAGACAAGGGGAACTTCCAGAGGGGCTCCAGGGGTCCCTCCAGTAGGGCGCCTCACCAGTCTTGCCAGATCCACTCTCGCCTGTAATGAGGATACACTGGTCTCGGTCCCGATCCCTCAGTGACTGGTATGCCACATTGGCCAGTGCATAGCTTGAGGGGTGGAGGTGGGCAATGATTGAGATGGGGTCAGTCCAGAAAACCATCTTTCACTCAATTCCCAACACCCAGACTCTCCCACCTTGACCAGACTGAGGCAAGAGAAGGTGCCTACAGAGGGCCAGGAATGGAAGGGGCAAGCACAAGGGAAAGTAAGGTGTCTCATAGTCAGGAAGCTAGGCCCTGCCAGTCTTCCCTCAGCTTCTCTACTCACATGTGTGGCTTCAGCTCATAGAAGGTATAGTCTCGGTATTTGGCAATGAACTCTGGGCCATAGATGGGCAATTGTTGGTAGGGATTCACTGAGATCACCACATTCCCAATGTAGGTCTACAGCCAGGGAAGAAGGTGAAGGGAATGAGCCAGGAGGGGGTCGAGGGGGCTGGGAGTTGGCAAGGAAGAACAGGTAGGTTCACACACTTGCACCCAGCAGTATCAATATGCACTCACGTAAATCTCTTTATTTTCATAGCGAAGCTGGAGGTTCTTGAGCAGAGACTCCTCTGCCAGGGGTTCCAGGAGGATGAGGTCCTCCACCCCTATGGTATCTTCCAGGAGGGGCATGTCCAGAGGGGCTAATGATCCTAGGAGTAAGGGGGGGTGGAAGTTTGTTGCTGTGTGCTCAGCTTTAGGTGCCAGTAACTGTTTGAGGGAAGGTGAGAACTTCCTCTACCCACCCCACCCTCATTTACCCCGATTCTAAAAGATGCCCCAGGACAAGCCCAAGCTAAATATGGGGTCCTGAAACTCTTGATGGGCAGCGAGAGAATCCCCTGCTCCCTGCATTAGGGTCTGGGGGATGATCCTTTCCGTGACCAGGATAAGGTGGTACCAAATTGGCAGCACCTAGAGGAGCTCTGGTAGAGTAGTGGTTACAAATCGGGCTGTGAACTGCAAGGTCAGCAGTTCAAAACTACCAGTGGTTCCACAGGAGAAAGACAAGGCATTCTGCTCCCGTAAACATGTAAAACCTCGGAAACCCTGTACAGGGTCACTATGAGTCGGAACCGACTCCACAGCACATAACAACAACAGAGGAGTACAGTTGTGTTTGAAGGAGAAAGGGTTGGGGAGAAAGGAGGAGGCTGAGCAAGCTTTGTGCTGCAATTTTCTACAGAAAGCTCTTCCTCCTGCTGAGGGCCCTGGGCAGGGTCCAGTTTGCCCCCTCTCAAGCCCCTACCTCTCCCAACTCCAATTTCAGCCACCCAGCCCACCTGTGCCTATTGAAAACGTTCTTCAAAGCTTTCTCTTTTCCTCTTATTGCTATAGTGAGATTCATTTTTGAAGTGGGGATTGAAGGAGGGGTGAGTTAGAAAACAGAGGCAGAAGTTGGTCCTGAAGACTGGAATACCTCCAAGAAGATGAAGGTGGGGTCTGCTTCCCCCACAAGCAAGTAGCTGTCAGGATCTCCAATGCGCTACCACATCTATCCTTATTTTTCTATCTCTAGCGTTTACACCATTCCTGTAACCTTCTGGTGTAGACTTTGCCCCAGGGACACACCCAGCTTTTGAGTAGCTGGCAGGACTGTGCAAAGAAAAGCAGTATTGGCCCTGCAGGAAGCACTATGGAGCTCTGCCCCTCGGCAGTAGGTACATGACAGGTGTTCCCTGAGGAGGAAGGCTAGCCCTCCTCAGTCTGTCCTGTATGACACAGTAGGTGTGGTGGCTGAGAGCAGGACAGAATTACTAGTGCAATGGTCAATGCCACTCCCAGAGTGCTGGCATCTCTGAGCGTGGGAGGGGGAGGAAGCAGGAATGGAAGGAGGGGCAAGGAGGGAGCACAGGTTTCCTTCTCCCTTCACTCTGCTTTCTCCAAGTCCCAGGAAAGAAGGACATTTGTCACTTCCTGCAGAGACACAACTGAGAAAGCCACAGTAATACTGGTGCTAATAGCAGTCCTAAGTGCAATCTTGCGGCACTTACCATGAGCCAGGCACTTTACTCATACTTTTCAGATTCAGCTGATGCTTGCAATACCCACATGAGGTAGGTGGTAGTATCTTCCTCCATTTCCCAGATGAAAAAAATTTTTAAGTCTTTTGAGTAATTTAGCAGGGAAGGATGAGAAGCAGAACGGGGGTTGAGAGAAGATATCTCCTTTGGATTTGGATTTGAGGGGAGTGGGAATGTGAGTGGTTAGAGGTGGGGAACCTCTTCCCCACCTATAAGGAGGCAGGAAGGAGGCAGAAACCTAGATCAGGTACCAGGGGATGTGAAAAGAGCAGGGCAATGATAGGTCAAGGCAGGACTCACCCAGCACTGGAACTAGCTAGTGTAACTTCAGTGCCCACTTGGAGAAGACCGATGAAATCCCAATTTGATAGCAAGGGGGCATAGCAGTCCTGGGCCCCAAGGGTGAAGCGGTGCTGGAGTTAGTAGGAACTGTCCATGGTGTCGAGAAGCCAGGAAAGCAACTGACCTCTTACAGTGTTCTCTCTTCAACCTTTCTTTGTGCTGCCTCTTCCAGTCGGGATCCCTGTGTCAGTCAAGACAGGAGCCTGGAGATGGCTGCTCAGCACAAAGTCCGAGGCTGTTCCTGCTGAGGGTGTGGCTCACTTAACCCTTCACAGGCCTGATGCCCCAGCGGGCGAAGCTCAGTGACTTCAGAAAACCCCTCAAGGTAGGAAGGAGTGATTGGATGACTCGATTTAAACAACGGTTCTTGCTCCATTGTCCCCAGAATTTTGAAATGAGAGCGTAAGAAATGGAATTTACAGCCAAGGGACAACTTTTCCAATGAGAAGATAGGATATGGTCAAGAAAGCTAGGGTGTCTTCCTAGCAAAGAAATAGTTCTTCCCTCAAATGTACCTTTCTATTCTATTAGGAGTTGTGGTGTTAATGAGATTGCTTGGGGAGCTAAGCAGAAAAAATTATCCAAATTCCTTCCCACTTCCCTCTCTAGGAATGAGACCCCATCACAGAGATTCAAAGACTATAAAGTTAGTAATTTGTAAAGTTAGCATTTGTATAGCACATTGGTTTCATTGACCTCCCATCTACATTGTCTCATTGAAGCCTATCACCCCGTGAGCTCTCTGGCAGTGCAGATACTCAATAAAAAGGGAAATCAGTGGCAAATGCCAAGGTTAAACGAGGTTATATGGTATGCCCACAGTGCCACCACTAGTACATGGCAGAACCAGGAACACAATGCAAGCCTCCTAACCCTAAATTTGTCAAGGGATCCACACCAAGTTCAGATGTTTCCAATTTTACTTCTTCTTCAGTGTTATGATAATAGTTAAAACCCTGAGCTGCCATTTCCTGGGTCCTAGCCCAGCTGTAGATAGTTGTCTCAGGTAGATAAGCAGCTTATAAAATCTACTTTCTAAGATGCCCTTTCTTCCACCCAGGAAAATCCCTAACTAGCAGGCTCCTCCTGCCCATCATCCTCTTTCCCAAGCACAAAGAGTACATCAGGTCATTACAGGCACTTAGCTGAGGGGAGAGACTTCACTTTCCCAACTCTCACTCAGGACTGTTTGATTCAAGGTTCAAACTCTATAGCTTTCACAGCAGCACTCTGCATAAACCTAGCCTATCAGCATTTCCATTATCAACTTGCCCTTACATAATTTATTGACCTACTATATATATATGAGGGGGGAGGCAAAGAAAAGAGGGGGAGAAAAAAGCTGAGCACAGTGACATAAGAACATAATCCCATGTCCAGCTGGGGCAGTATCACAGTGTCAGAGACAAATGGTTGTTAAGTGCTGTCGAGTCGGTTCCAACTCATAGCGACCCTGTACAGGCTTTCCGAGGATTAGCTGGTGGGTTTGAATTGCCGACCTTGTTACACAGTCAAGGACTGACCCAGAGACAAAACCCAAAATCTCTCATAGAGAAATCAGAGACCTACAGTGAGAAAAAAAAAAAAAACACCCTGAACTTGGCAGAATAGAACAACAACCCACATCACCCTTTCCCCAGGCCAGGGACTGTGGCCCTTTACAACTTGAGGTTTATCTGTGTGTCAACCCATTCATCTACTTCCTGAGTGCTCACATGAGGAAAGTGACTCTAAAAATTTGACAGCATTCTGAAATAATCTCTAAAGCTTAAACCAAAAAGTTTCCTGGAGTGTTAAAACTGAACAATAGTTGAACAACAATAAAAAAATAAAAAAATAAAAAAAGTCTGCTTTGAACATAACATTTTTGGGTTTTTTTTTTAGCATTATGCTCTTTTAAGAACCATCCTTATGAAATCAAATTGACCACAACCCAAGAGATTAGCTGGAAATTTACAGGACAGTTAATGTTAATGAGGGACAAACAACTCAGAAATGGAAGGGGACAATGGCTGCACATCTCAAAGAACGTAATCAGTGTCACTGAATTGTACATGTAGAAATGGTTGAACTGGTATATCATTTGCTGTATATGTTCTCAACAACCTCAGAAGAAAATGTAGAGAAAAAACTAGATGGCAATGTTGGACTTAATAACAGTGGCATGAACATCACAATAAGGATGGCCAACTACGCTGGTTTGTCTGGGACTAGGATCGTGTCCTGGTGTGAAGCTGCAGGATAAGCACTAGACTGCAAGGTTGGTTTGAACCACAAGGTCAGCAGTTCAAACTCACCAGTAGCTCCTCAGAAATCCTATACAAGGTCACTCTGAGTTGGTACTGACTCAGTGGCACTTAACAACAGAATAGATAAAACTAAAAAAAGTCCCAGTAAAAGTTTATCACCATATGTTAACCAGTAAGTCAGCTAGGACTTCAAGGTCTGTGAAAGCATTGCAGGGGTGGGAAGAAGTAAAGGCTGGAGGGAGGGAGGACTGTGATTGGCTTCCTACTGCAAAACTGAAACTAAAGCTTACTGATCTTCCTCTACTGCATCTGACTACTAAATCTCCATTCTTTTGCCTGCAATCAAAACCACTAGCCCATGTAATGGACACGAGAAAACTTTTGAGGGTGATGGTAATGTTTTATATCATGATCCATTTGCTAAAACCCAGCAAAATTGTACACTAAAAATTTGTGAATTTTGTGTGATTTTTCCAATAAAGCTGATCCGCAACCCCTAAACTTGAAATCTTTTCATAAATTATTACTTAAAGCAGAGATTTGTTGGAGCTAGCTGTTGTCGAGTCAAGCCCCAATTCACGGTTACCCGTCACCCACAACAGAATGAAACACTGAACTATGCCCATGATCGGCTACACTGTGATCCATGGGGTTTTCCTTGACTTAGGAGAGCAGATCACCAGGTCTTTATTTCTAGTACATCTTAATGTGAAGCGCTGATGAAACCTTTCCGTGTCACAGAAGCACGCACTGGCAGGATGTCTCTACTGGCTGATGGCTGCTCTGGAGCTGCTTTGCTGGAGATGGATGTTGGGTTGGGAAAAGAATAATCTGACTAAACTCATTCACACCCATTAACTCCCTCAGGGGTACTCAGTTTTTAAAAGCAATTGCAGACAGTAAAAATAATGAGGTTTTCAGAGATGGTGAAGAAGGCATTTGGTGATAAAGGGTTTTATTGGCTTTCATAAATTATGTCTTTAACATTTATCAGGAGCTTACTGTCATGAACCAAGCTAAGTGTCTTACATC